AGTAGGTAGTAGGTAGTAGGTAGTAGGTAGTAGGTAGTAGGTAGTAGTAGGTAGGTAGTAGTAGTCACAACAAGTTTAAACAAGCACAAAGAAAAGGCCAGGGACACAGGATCAAATTAATAGGGGGTAGTAGTGCAGATTATTGATGGGGGACAGGCCCTGGTGAGGGGTACCCTTTGTGAGCTTGTCCAATGAGTGTTTTTAATTGTTTTTTAACAAGGCAATTTATAGGCCCTGAGCCCTAGACATTTTTAAGGATTTCATCAAACATGTAGTAGGTAGTAGGTGGTGATGGTGGTGGTGATGGTGGTGATCGTGGTAGTAGCACGTAGCAGTAGCAGTAGCAGTAGCAGAAGCAGTAGCAGTAGCAGTAGCAGCAATAGCAATAGCTAGTAGCAGTAGCAGTAGCAGTAGCAGTAGCAGTAGTAGCAGCAGCAGTAGCAGCAGCAGCAGCAGTAGTAGTAGCAGTAGCAGTAGCAGTAGCAGTAGCAGGAGTAGCAGTAGCAGTAGCAGTAGCAGTAGTAATTAGTAGAAATTAGTAGTAGTAGTAGTAGTGGTGGTAGTGGTAGTAGTAGTAGTAGTAGTAATACGAAAAATTGACCTGGTTGTGGGCTCGGATTAACTGGGGGGGTTTCTGATGCCCAACTAGAAAATTAGGGGGGGAAATAGGCACGAATAATACTTTTAATTTAGGCAATTTTTGGTGGGCTTGTGTCTTCGGATTAACTAGGGGAGGTTTATTAATCGTAACTTTGCATTATTGAAGAAGAAAAACAATGCAAAGCTAGTGGCTCGGCTAGTAGTAGCACCTTGTAGCGCAAAGGACAAAACGCTCAAACATCTATGATCTGAGGCCCCGGCAAATGTCCAGTGAATTCCAGATGCTGTAGTTTCAAGGGCTGTGGCCCGAGCAGTCTGTTCTGCAATACTTGGTTCAAAGCTGGCTGCTTCGCCCAACGGAATAGGAAACACGGTCCACATGCCATGGATGACATCCTTGGAGCCGGACTTGGTGTGAAGGCGGAAGGAATGGGATCCAAAAGCTCTCTTTTTTGGGCCTCCTACTTAATCTACTAGGCTAAGTTAGCTTCTACAAGTAGTAACTGGACGCAGGATAGCTCACACACTAATGATGTGGTTTCTAGATGTTTAGGGAAATGAAAGGCAAGTGTCCCTTCCCTAAAATTTCAATCTTGTTTCAAGCTGCACTTCCGAAAATCAGAGGGATACCAAGTCGTGTCTCTTCGATAGCTATGCGCTGAGCTTCACGGCCTTCCTGCCAGCTTATACAGACCCAACTTCTGAACAAACATATACTGCAACTGGTGAACAAGGTGCTGTCCTTTACCCCAACGCCATTGAAAATGGAGCCGACCCTGCTGCGACGAATTTGGTCCACCATCTCATCAGCTTGACGATGATTCACCTTTCAGGGAAGCACGACCTGTTTGCTGGGAAACTACAAATAAAACAAAGTCTGGGGCCAAACTGAAATTGCTGCCTCAGGATTGATATCTGGATTGCAAGGTCTGATCGTGTCAGCCAAGATAGTGAGCTGCCCTGCTTTCTCCTCTAAAGTCATCTTCGAGATGAGCTGTTCCTCAGATCCAGCAGTGGGATGTCCAAAGTTGTTGCGACCTTTCTCTTGGCCCTTCTCTGCTGCAAGGTGACAATCTGAGGGTCGTCCCTTGGCAACATCTTGTCTCCTGGACCAGGTTTCAACAAGACTGTTTGTTTTACAGCAAGCTGCAAGCCAATCAACACCCTTTGCTGCCAAGCTGCGGTCTGCAGCCAAATGGACACAAAAAAATGCTGAGTTTGAGCCACTGGAAGAGAGAAAAAATGCCCATGATTAACTTGAAACCAAACTCATGCCAACATCATCTAAGCAGCATGCGCTTCGGTGACATTCTGCCAAACCGGCTCTTGCTGGCATTGCGTACCTGATGCAAAACTTGGATGAACATGCCAGTCAAGCTGAAGCCAGTTACAAAGGACTTGGTCTTTTCTTCACATGCAATGCAAGGCTACCAGTTACGTGATCCCTACTGGTGCATTCACCTCTTCTGACGGCAGTTCATTGCCAATGTCTGTGGTGGGAACGCCCGGAACGTCATTGCTTCCTGCTGATCCTCCTGAAACTAAGTCAAACCAAAAATGGTTCTTGACATGCAACATGTGACCCACTGCTTTGAATGAAAATCTCAAAAGCATGTCCTTGACGGAGGGCATTCTCTATTGAGTCTAGGTCTGAGGGGTGGTCCTGCCATGCATGGTTTCTATCAGCGTATGCAGGCAAGCACAAGCCGACAGCATGGGCTGACGGTGGCCCCAGTAAACACCACATTGCTCGTTGCGACTCAGTAGTCACTACCGACCCTAGTTGCAATTCCAGCGCATTACTTTTGCAGGAGCGGGCCATGTGTCTAGTGTTGGTTGCACTAAATCTCCCCACACTTTCACAACATCAACCAAGGCCTAGGCCCTAGGCAACTACAAGAAAAGGCGGACTAAACCAAAGAGCACCTCCAAGACATCAACAATTGTGTCGAGGGGCAAGACCTCAGCACAGAGTTTACAAAGAAAGAACTGGAATCGGCCACTTGCTGTGGCTAGAAAAGAAGGCAATTGGGGGTTGGAAGGCAAGGTTCGCTGGTCAAGCTGTCAAATGCTGAGTACCTAAGCCCCTGCCTGGTTCCCAGTCCCAGTGGGACCGTCGGAGGGGTCCTGCATTCACGACCTTAGAGACAAATATACAGTGAACGAGTAAACAAAAAAAAACAAAAAAAGTAACACGTAGTAGTTGGAAAGCTGATTGAAAAACTTGGAACCCGGCCATGACACGTAGCTACACAGTAGCCCGTTGGTTGAATAATGAGTTGAAAGCTTCGGGAAACAAACTCTATAGTTTGTGCAGGTCCAAGTAGAATAGGGTATGACGAAGAATTGGAATCGGTTGTTTTGCAAGTATGACAACCGTGGAATCCCAAGTCTGCGCACGCAGGCTTCGAAAGAGCTTTGACCTCTCAACAGGGAGGCCGAGGGGCAGGAAACTGCGCAAGCAGCCCGAGGATCTCAAGTTTTGATCCCTGCTAAAATACGCTGGAGGATTCGGACCTTTTGATTACAAAACCTTTGGCGGATTTGAACTGGGCCCCTGTAAGTATTGCTGCAGGCTATGCCAGGCTAGGGTAGACCCTGTTGTGGTTCTCAGGCGGTTCTCCGATCGCCTAACTCTTTGCGTGTGCGTGTGTATATATATATAATTGCAAAGAGGATAGGAACCGCTTGGTCAAAAAGACCATCGCATGCAGCAAGGCCAAAAGCATCCAGGAGCCCGTGCTTTCGCTGCCACTGCTTAACCCAGTGGTAGCGGAGCCGGGTTCGATCCAGGGTAGGTGCTGCCGCCATGTCGTTCATGTCCCCGCCGCCGGGACTTTTTCCTGAGGAAACTGAACCAGTTCCAGCTGCTGCTGCAGCTAGCGGGGGCCGGTGGAGGAGGTGCGGGCTACGCCAGTGGGTCGATGTCCTGCGAAGCCATGACGCATGGACACGTCAAGATCCATGGGGACCACCACGAGAGTTTGCCCAAGCCTCCATGAATGCCGAGTACCTGCAATACTTCCAGCGGCGGCAAGAAAACGCGGAAACACCAAATCCTGCAGGTCCTGCTAGGCCAGAGCCTATCAGGCTGGGAGGAGGCATGGCTCCAATGGATCCTGTACCTGCCCTACTCGCAGTGCAGACATGCTGCGAGGGATGAGGCGCGCACCACCGCAGGGCCACCACCTGGACTCTGAGGCGGCTCGATCACCGACTGGATGGATCGTTCTCGCAGCTGACTTCGTATACATGAGCGTGCCTGCGCATCCACGTTACCACACGTCAGTGTTACCACCAGTTTTTGATGAAGGACGCGCAACTGTAGATACAGGGTGTCAGCAGCGTATGGCTATTGGATGGGGTGCTCTAATCAAACATCAACAACACCTGCCCAACGATCTGCCGATTCATTTCTTTCCTGAAAAGCATCAGTTTCGGAGTGCGCATCAAACCTCAGTGACTGAAAGAATTGCAGTTCTTCCTAGCAGTTTGGGTGTTCGTGGAAGCTTTTTAAACCCAGCTGTATGGAGGGTCATTGCAAGAGTGCCCCTTTTTTATCAGTCTGCCCTTTTTGCTACATTGCGGTGCTCAACTGGTGTTGGATGAACAATCTGGGTTGACCCTCATCTCAGAGCGCTTACAATTTCAAGCAAAATGTCATTTGGGTCCTACAGGAGCGTTGAGGGCTTTCCTTCAAGATTTTTCAGCAAAGAAAAACAGTGTTTGCAGCGCGCAGCGAATCGTTCCTTGGCAGAATATGAAATGCTGCGAACGGAGCACACAACTGGCTCAAAGATCATCAACGATCCCGCAGTACCTCCTGACACCAATCTTGCAAACAGTGAAGATGAACGCCATCTTCTGCCAAGCGCAACAGGACGGAGGAGAGCTGCTCAGTGATCTTTGCATGGTATCGCCTGGCGCTCCGTCTCTTCACGATGATCACTCAAGCACTGCGCAATCGTGCCTTGACGACGCGGATCCCCGGGCCCGGAGGCAGAGACAGTATCAGGGTGGAGCAGGGTCAGCATGGAAGAGAAGGAGGCCAACATGTGGCAGATCGTTCAGGGCTAAATGGCTCAGTGGCTGAAGATCACTCCAGACATGTCTGTCTGCCTGCCTGCCTGTCTGTCTGTCTGTCTGTCTCGTTCCCTCGACTTCCGTCCCATTGGACAAGAACCCGGATCCCACGTTGACCGAACTTCGAGCCCTGTTTCAGAAGCAGTGCCCACGCACAAAGGTGAGACGACAGGGGTCGAATGCTTTCCGCAACAAGACCACCTGCAAGGATTGTGGGAAGGTCCGTCTGGACGGGGAGACGGTAACCAAGAAGATGCACTCCAAGGCCAAATTGACGGTCCGCCGTGTTCAAGCTACAGCTACTCCCCGGACATGATCTCAGAGGAGGAGACTCTGGACTTCCAAGGACTTCCTGGATTGGCAACGACGCTAGAAGGCATCCAGCTCACCGCTTCAGGTCCAGAGGAAGAGCGACATCGACCCGGAGGCGGGCCTTCAAACGGGTCCAAGCGGGTGGCAAGGGAGTGAGAGCCAGCCGCCGCCATTGAAAGAAGTTACTTCTGGCCTACGACATAACATGGTGGGTCGCCTGAAGCGAAATTATAGAACGCGAGAGCAATTGAACGAACTGTTGATCATGAACCATCCAGAACCCAATGGAATCCCGTGAAAGTATTTTGTTCAAAGATACAACAGGTGATTCAGACGTCTCCAGGTCAGTTGAAGATCTATCGGAAGATCGTAGAGATTTGCAATCCCGGTTGCTTCAACGAACAAGTGGACAGTTTTGGATTGAGAAGAGGGCAAGTGTTTGAGATTTGTGGTTGGGTGGAATCTGTTGGACAAAACAATACAATCACAGGTAGTCAAGTATATTTGCTCAGAACGGCCTGGTTGATTTGCTTGCGCCACCTTGTACATTGTTCAGCGCATATGTTGTCAATCAAAACTCAGCATCCGACTCCACAGCAGTTTGACCAACACTTGAAAGAACTTCGCCATGCTCGTGAACTGCTCAACTTTTGCGTGAGCATTTTTGTGAACTATGTCATGAACTCAACCTCACATATGTTCTGGAGCACCCGTGGGGCGCTAGTTCGATCATTGATCCCGCACTGACAATTTCTTGGCTAGAGTTGACCAACGCCAATTTGGTTTGATCAGCTCAAGCGGCAACCTCATGCGCAAGTGATCAGGATTCATCATAGAGATAGCACAGGCCCTGAACACCACCTGCGATGGTTCCCACCAGCACGAGTCGGTCGACCGCCTGGCGATCCATCCAATCGTTCGCACGTGGCCCAGCACCATCCCTTGAAACTGATCAAGTGCATCCTTGGTGTTTACGCTGCTAGCGTTGGATTGACCCAATCGGAACTACACTGGGTTGATGCCGCCACCACTCTCGAGCAAGAGCAGCAGTTCAACGAAAGTTCCAGTTGAATTCGACTACACCATGTGACGCACTCCCTCTAGCCGTGGGAGAGGCAGAATGTTGTCATGGCAATGTGGGAGAGGCAGAATGGGAGATGTAGAACCTCAAGTACAAGAAGGGTCATCACTATTTCCTCTCCATGAAGATCCTGGTGATGATGATGACGATGGGGATCAACCGAAGAGTCGGGAAGCCTTTCGTGGCAGTCACCTCTGATGGTCTTCTTTGCATCCTGAAGCACAGCAAGGCGTCGGAGGAGGTCCTGAAGATTGCTCGAGAACTACGCTGCTCGGTCTGCGAGAGGTTCGTCGGACCAAAACCTGTCCTGCAGCTTTTTGAAGAGAGCTAGGTGGGAGTTGATACAATCCAAAGGAAGGCTAGCTTCTCTCAAAAGACCTTAAATACTGCCTCAACCTCATAGATTACTCCTCCTACTTTCAGATGATCGTCCCTTTGACCGATCACATCGCATCTGCTGCCAGACAAGGCTACCGAAGTTGGATCAAAATTCCCGGTCCACCTCG